TATCTTCTTGTGGTTGATTTTACTGATAGTGACGCTTATCTATTGTAGGGCCTTCCTGTCTCCTCCAGCAAGTTTGGTAAGTATCTCGAGCGTTGTCTTATGTGTGCGTGGTTCTCCTGTCATGATCTGGTCAATTTGAGTCATTTTCTTTGTTCATAGCGCGGTAGTAGTCTTTAGGTTTACAACTTAATTGACTTGTTTTCGTTTATTATTTATTTTTGTTTGAGGTCTAATGTTAGATGTATTAGTCACCTTTCACTGGATTACTCTTAGTTTTCCTTATTGAACATAGAAGTTCTGTCAAATCACACATATATATATGCCGATTCAATATTTGTTTCCATATGTGCATAGGAAAAAAAGTTGTAGGATGTAAGTTAGTTATGTATCCTAAGAAGATAATTAAGTCGGCCGATAAATTATGATAGTTTTGGGAGAAGTTGTAATGATTATTTTGATAAAGTTAAAAGAGTCTGCAAACTTTTGATATAGGAAGTAACATTTTTTTTGTGATGCAATAGGTAGATCATATACTTCTTTTGATCAGATTTTCTGTTCTTTTGTGTGTGTGGATTTGCTATGCCTCGTTGCAGGATCTTTTGTTTGTACTTTTGTGTTTGCTATTACGAGCCGATTTGATTACTGTCAATGGTCGATTCTGTGTATTCAAACCTTATCTCATTATGAGAATATTAAAGAAAATTAGGTTAAAAAGCTGCGTAACAAGATATAAAAAGAATTGTTTAATTACCACGAACTAAGAGTCATGACTTTTGTAGAACCACGAAAGACATTGGTACCGTGGTCTAAGACAATTTTTAAAGAAACATAGACCCGATCGTAGACCTAAACCCAGAAGATCTGACTTGACCAAAACACAAGAACTATTGGTTCCCAACTGCTGAACAAGCAGCTTGTCCTACACCCTTTGATTGCACTGCGCATGCCACCGAAGATGCGCCTAGCCCTTTGTAGTTTGTCTGGTCAGCGAAGACACTTTAATATGCAACGTTTTTTGATGGGTTCAAGATGAACAAGACACTGACGAAAGAAAAAGAGACTTTCTTTAATAAAGTCAATGTTTAAATCGTTAAAGAATTTGATAAATGGATATTTGGTTTTGAATCTGATATTCTATTTGGTTCGGAATCAGTTTTTTTTTCTTCCTTTTTTGGATAAAAGGTTGCCTTCAGTTATAATGAAATTTGAAACGAGTACAATGAAGCAAAAAACAAACCGAGGGAAGGTAACACAAAAAGAGGAAACCACCCAAAGAGGGAGAGAGTACAGTAGCTGTAAATTCAGAGGCGCGACAAATTGACCACACTTGCAAGCTTTGAACGAAACCACTTGACGACCCAGGGAGAGAGCCCTGTACAACTCTGTGCTTCTACCGGCTGCAACAGGAAAGAAAAATGTAATGGTACTGGATTATCAAACAAGGACATGGCACCTTCCACAAAATGGCCATTTTCGCTTCATAGTTCATTTCTTCCCACGTGTCACTGATCATCTGGTACACGTGCGCACTAGCTTTCTCCTCTGAAGCCCCAGTCTCATGCATGTAACATGGGAACGTCTCCTCTTGCCATTTCATTCTATACATATAAAATCACACACTTGGATGTTATCTACCAATACAAAAAAACCTAGATCACTAGTCACTAATATACATGCAATTTCAAAACACATAACTAGAAAAGTTAGAAGATAAGTTTATTTACCGGCGAAGTTCCGAGGTCATTAGCTAGACGGATGATGATGCAGGAGCATCGGATGATTTGTTGATCTTGGAATTGAGAAAAAGTCTGGAAGCTTTGAATTGAGATTTGTTCGGAATAAAGGCAGTAAAAATGGATTAACATTGTCGAGGCCGAAATTGAAAACCAAGCATTTTGCATGTATTCTTCTAGGCTTGGTTTGTATCCTCTTTTGTACCATTTTGCTTCCACTAGAAATCTTTGACATAAATCTGCCCACTTATTTTAACCAAAAAAAGAAAGAAATCAATCAATCTATAATACACTGATATTATTTAGTGATACATAAAAATTTAAACTTACTGATTCTTTGAGAAAAGGGATGACATCAATATTTTTATGTTTGAGAACATAACATCCAATGCCGTTTATTTCATTGAACAAAACAAGAAAACACAACCTCATGTACTCGGGGAGCTCATCAAGGCGATTTACATCCCAACTGCAGTACATAGAAGTTAAAATCATTAGTTTATAATTAAATCATTAATTCATAATTAGCTCTATTTTGTACAAGTTACAACATACCAATAAAACTATTGAAAGAAATTTGAGTAGTAGAGTCCTTACTTTTCAACCATGACAGTGAAGAGTTCGAGTTCTTCAAGAGTGCCATAAATATCGTAGATATCGTCAATGGTTGTAAGAAGTGCAAAAAGCATGGTCTCGAACGGTCGGATATATCCAAATTGTGGTTCGGATATTAATCCAGTGGTCCAAAAGAAATTCTCGACTATTCGGTCTCTTGAAAAAGGAAGTTGATTACTCAAACATGTATCCTTCCACCAGCTTCATGTAATTAAAAAGAATGGATTAGAAAGAGTAAAATATCAGTGTGAGATATGAAAAATTAGTATATATTAGTCAATAGTACTACCCGGAAACGTATTTAAGATCTTCTTGATGAAAAGCTTGTATGATATTGTAATCGATTTTGGCGAATTCGATCAAGACAAGATTCATGTCATGTTTCTTTTCGTATTCATCTATGTACCATCTCGTTTCTGGTCTTCTCATTCTCAAATGATACGGCAATTCTAACGCATGGATCGCCTTCACACGTATCTCAGTATTGCAAGTTTCATCATCATGATCACTATCAACAAATTTTCGTATTTGTTCTATTGCAAAAGGTCTGATGACTTTACGCAATTTAGTATCCGTTTTTGTGGAGAGATACGACGCTTCGTATAAAGTGATGATACTATTTATATCATCAGTCTTCAATGTATCACTTTTTATTGTTTTCGATGATCACATCAAATATATTTGAAATGAACGGTCTTTTTAGTTAATACTCCCTCCATTTCACAATACTTGTCA